AAGGGGAGGAAGGAGGGTGGCTGGGAAAGGTTTTAAATTATTATTTTTCTTGTTTTACAAAAAAATTGGACCAATTATGTTGCGACACATCACACATGGCTTTTACAAAATAATATTCACCCTTTCTTTAAGTTACTGGTATCGACCTAGTGGAAGAAAATCAACCCAAAAGTTCATAGTGCTCCCTAATAAATGTAAGTTGGGATTATTGAGAGTTAATCGCTGGAAGTTCGGATTAATAAATTAAAGTGAATTTTTCTAATAAATAAAACTTAGATTTTGGAAGCATCCAATATAATAGATCAAAAAGCGAAAACAAGTCGAATTCAGGGTTAATTGGAGAATGAAATGGAGTCGTTTGACGTACTCTTGGAGGGCCCTTTTTAATCTCTTTAGTTTTAATAAAAATGTGTTCTTTTAATGGAAGTGGTGTTACTTATGTTTGTCGGGAGATGTAGCAAATTTTTTTTTTGCAGATTTACATAAACCCTTGTTGAAGGAGGATGGTAGTAGGTGTTGTTAAACCCATTTGTATGTGATAACGGAAAGAGTCATTACAACATTATGACCTTGTATGAGAATATATACTCCCCTACGTCCCTATAGTTTCCGTTTTCCTATTTTAGAGACTTAAAATTTTGTTTCTGTTTCTATTTTTAAATAGTATGTAAAGACCATTATATCCTTATTTTTTGACTTTATTCATTAAAGTTCCTAATTTACCTTTAACTTATCCACTTGCATTGCACTTTTTTCACTTTCTCTCTCTGACTTTTGTCTATAATTGTACTTTTCACTTTTTTCCCTTTAAATTATCCACTTGCCTTGTACTTTTGTCTAGCTTTTTTCCACTTCTCTTCCCATTTCTTAAATACGGTGAAAAAAACACAATAGGAACTATATTATGGGACGGAGAGAGTATAAGATATGGTTTTGTCAGATCGCAAGAAATGTGATTGACATGTATGAAGCATAGATCTCAAGAAAATTTTATCAATTTGAATTATTGGGGTCCCTTAGGGTAATGCATACTAATTTTAAGTTGTCTTCATCATTTCAGCAACATTCATAGACTTTTAGTTGTATGTTAGAAAATACCTTGCACAACACGAAACATCATTACCAACATCCCTTATTCTATCATAGTCACATCGCATGTTTAAATGTATATTGGTAAGCCTTATATGCGTTGTCATCACTCGTTATAATAGCTTAAAGGTAAATATCGTTAATGACCTTAATTGATATTGTGTAAAGGCTTCTTATGCCAATAGTAGCTTATGTTACTTTATTGTCCTTTCGTTTGTTGTAAACTCAGTTTAATTAATGTAATTTCAGCTGTTTTTTTTTTTTTTTTTTTTTTTTTTTTTTTTTTTTTTAAAAGTCTAAAAAACTTACAAAGAATTGATACAAGTTTTGGTGTATGGAAATATTAAAAACTAGGTTAGGTCTTGTGTCATGCACGACAATTTAAAAAAATTAATTTCAACTTTTCCATACAATTGGTTATTTTACAACAATGAAACAAAAAATCTAAAAACACTATGGACAATCTTTGATTAAAATATGAAAGATAAATGGATATATCTAATAAGTATAAAGCGAATAATTTGATATTCTTAAATACAAAGTAATAAAATCTTCTATTAAGTAATTGAAATATTGATGTGTAGATATTGTATTTAAATATATAATTATATATATTATCAACATGTTTTAGATGAGGGCAATAAATAATACTGTAATATTGATCTTCACGAGATGAATAAATTACTTAATACTCGATTAGTTTATTTTCCATTTATTAGTGTGAGGTCCATATATAAGATCTTGGCACTATAACACCTTACATTGTAAAAATCTTGGCACTATAACACCTTACATTTTACATTATAGATATCATGCAACTCCTTCTATGAGTTTATATTATACTTGAGAGATATCAAGGCAGTTATTAGTGAAGTGAAATGTCAAGAATTCCACTACCAGGTTGATCATTCCAGATTATAATTGTAGGCAACCTGGATGATGAGTGAATTAGGCTTCTCAAAACCAAGTTTTGTTTGTTTTCCCATGCCCAGAACCTGTTTGCTTAAATTCCTATATGAAAAATACAATTGAAGTGTTTCTGATTTGTGATTAGTTTGATACTTGGGATTTCATTTGTTTTGCTAACTTTATATCTTGGTGGTTGATTTGGGTGTTGAATTGTCTGCAGGGAAGACTCAACTTATCAAGCATTTTCTGATGAAAAAAGAGTTGGTATGTTGTTGATTTGCCTGGATATGGGTGAGTATCTGGAATTTTGGTTTTTATGTCATGGGAATCTATTTCATGCTGGGAATAATACAATTTATCTATGATGACAGGTTACATCAGTGGCATATTGTATACGGAACATCAATTGCTATTCGTGCTTATACTTGATCATATGCTTGAATCATATTGAAGTACCAAATACGAATTCGCCTTAAAGTGTTGCTTTAAAATTTCTGATCATCCTGTAAATCATATTGCAGACTGAGTGGATGATACGTATGTAGGCTATGTTGAAGCAGTTTGTAATATCTATTAAGTCAGCAGTTGGGACTTGGGAGGAAGGATAGCTCCACTTTACTTAAATTGATCTCTAGTGGTGTGGATGTGCTTAATTCCCTATTTGTACCCTGGGAAATTGATGCAATCACTCGTATTCCGATTTCCCGTACTCAGGACTGCTGGAATTGGAATCACACAAAGGATGAGGTTTTTTCTATTTGTATGTGTGCTTTCCCCTCTGTCCAGAAAATTGATGCAGTTTGGTCTAACTTGTGTAAGGCTGAGTTGCCACCCAAAATCAAACATTTCGGATGGAGTTTTCTTCATAATAGTATTCCTGCCCGAAATATTCTGAAGATAAAGAGGTATTTGTGCTGATGACATCTGCCCGGTTTGTGGGGAAGACTGAAACTATTTCTCATGCACTTTCCCTTTGCCTTGATGCCTGCAAGATCTGGTATTTCTCCCCTTTGCGCTTGAATGTGATCGAACTACGTTAAGGATGATTCTTTGTTGCATTGATGTAGTAAAATGGGTATGCACAATGATAATGCATAGTGGGATATTTTTTGGAGCCTTTTGTGGGGGATTTGGTTGAAAAGAAATGCCTTTTACTTTGACAGGAAGAGTATTCAAAAGGAGATATTATCACAAAGGTTATGAGTGTTGTTTGGGAGTACGAAAAAGCTAATGGAATGCTCACTTTTGGGATCAGTAATGCTGCTGCTATACAGCAATCTTGGTGCCCTCCGAGTTCTGGGTTCTGCAAGACCAATTCAGAAGCTGCTTGCTTTGTAAATGGTTTGGTCAATCTAGGAGTGATGAGGGATGGCGTTGGTCGTTGGAGATGTGTTGGCTGCTACATGCTCTAGTGTCTAGGGAAGCTTTGATGTGGATGTGGCAGAAGCCCTTGCTGCTCGTCATGCTCTCACAATTACAATGGAAGCTGGGTTTTGTAGTATTGTGCTCAAAACGGATAACTTGAAGCTGCATTCTCATTTAAAGAAAAAGAAGAGTGTAGCCTCAAGTTTTGGTGCTATTGTTGGTGATATTATGATGTGGTCTCTGCTGTAATTTTGGATGCTCCAAAGTTTGATTAATAAAGTTTAGTGTGCTTTCTGTCCAAAAAAAAAAGGAAAAAAATAAAAATAAAAAATCTGCATTTATTTACGGTGTAACTCGAAAGTGTAAATCCCTCATTGTTAAGCATGAATTAGAGGATTGGACATTGTTAATTACACAGTTGTTTGGCTAGCTAACTATGACTTCTTGGCGCAAATAATATGTACGGAGTAGTTATCTTAGACGCAATCCCAAAGGATCATCAAATTGTTTATTGGATGACTTGAGCGTAGTGGTGCAACCTCAAAATAAATGTCGCTTTATATATATATATATATATATATATATATATATATATATATTTTGACAGGCGCTTTATATTTCTTTGTAATATCGTATTGTTCTTGTTACTCCCTTTATTTTAAGACCATCTTCATTAGTAAGACTTAATTTTGAGTATTGAAATACAAAATGAGTTGTTTTTTTACCTCCAATGGTAATACCCAACCTACTTCTCAATTTAGCAACCCATGTGAAGTCTAATTTTCCAACGGTGAGACTCTTTAAATTATACTAATGTCACTTTCAATTTATGACCCACCAAATCCATATTGTAAAAAAAAACTAAAACTTAAATAAATTACATAATATACACTTTTTGTCAAATGAGACTCAAAGTTGAGTATTTAAACTTAGCAACTTTCTTTTGGGGTTGCTAGGTTTAGATATCAACTTATTGGTATCTTTTGCAAAAAATACTCCCTCTATCCTAAAAAAAACTCTCTCAAGCCTCACCATTGGAGATGGTCTAATTTTTTGCCCTATTGTAAAAAATTGGATCAAATTTTAAATTTTTTTACCCCAAATACCGTTGATCTATAAGAAATAATATAGTCATGTGAGATCTTGTTGGGTTCGTGATATTGTATTATATATCTAGTTTTTATAATTTTTATATATATGAAATGATAAAACCATTTTAAAATTCGTTAAAAAGTCAAATGGGGGCAAATGGAGAAATCGCAAAAAGTCAAATGAAGGCAAATTAGAGATAGTGAGAGTAAAATGTTTTGGTTTCTTTTTGTCATTTTTTGGGGTTTATTCCGCACTTTTACCAAATAAACAAACAAAAAATGCTCCCAACAGGCCAACACACGTTAACCAATAATATCTTTAATTGTTTATATTTTATAAACGAAATGTAAAATTAAGCTACAGAAATGTCATAATTAAAAAGGAATGAAAAAGTATAATTTTAATCATGTGTTATTTCTTTTATTTGTATCTTCTTAGAGTTGCCAAAATCCTACGTGACCAACTCAATTTGAAATCAACCGATCAAAACTCGATTTAAATATTAATTCATATAAATACAATAATTTAACGTAATTTAAATTTAAAATAGACTCGACACACCTTAACCTCACCAAACCGACTCATAACTTGAATCCACACCTCTTCTCATAATGTGCTACTGTGCTAGTCAAGTAATTCGTATTTGCTAGTAGCAATTTTTAGAGAACGGAGTTATTCCGTACTTTACTTGGTAATTCTGAGTTGTTTTATAATTTTGCGCTCCAGTTTAGATCCACTGTGTGAGCGAGCTTTGATCTCCATCAACAATGGCGGTCTCCCATCTTCATCAGAGACCGACACACAAACGCCCTTCTTCCTTTCTAAATCGCACAAATCTCACCCTCCTTTTCTCTCTCCTCATAATCCTTGGCTTCTTCTACCCTTATCTGGGAATCTCCCAATCCTTTTTCTCAAATACCAACTTCGCTTTTCAGTCTAAATGGCGAAATTACTCCCTCCAAGAAGCTGTTTCATTTGTTGGGCGAAATGGGACTGTCATTGTTTGTATAGTTAGTGAACCTTACTTGGATTTTTTGAACAATTGGTTGATTAGTGTTACCAGACATAAACATCAAGATAAAGTTTTGGTGATTGCTGAAGATTATAACACTTTGTATCGGGTTAATCAAAGATGGCCTGGTCATGCTGTGCTTATTCCTCCAGTTCTTGAATCTAATTCTGCCCATAAATTTGGTTCCTTGGTATGAAATTTGTTGCCGTATTTTTTTCAATTTAATTTATCATATTGCTGATTGATTACTATTGCTATTGGGGATTTGTGGTTTTGGTTTTTTAGGGTTTTGATCTGATTTAGGTGTTTGAGCTTTTCAAAGTGAACTTGTTATTTATAAGGGTTAGTTTGTTAGTAATTAATTTGTGAAATTGTGATGTTACTTGTTGATATATTTAGTTTGTGGAGTAGTTCATGTATATGGCACTCGCATGAGTTACTGGCTTCAAGCTTTCGGAAACACTAGAATGCACAAAGATCATATTCCAATGTCTTGTCTTTAATTTTGATTATTGATAATTATGGGGGGTGGGTTCTGGGTCTGTTTTAGATAATTGAGCTTGTTTATGTGAACTATTCTATTGATTTATTGAATGGATTGCTACATAAGAAAATGAATTGTGATGTTAACATACTTACATCTGATATAAGCATGGCTGCATGGGAGTTCTCATATAAGAAATATCAACTGTCTTTTCTAGTTGAAATTGTCATTAATGCTTCAATAATGAATGAGAAATTCGAAACTAGCTAAGCTATAAGTGGCCCTCATCTCTCAGAAGATATGAAATGGGAGTTTGGTTAATTATCAAGAAGGGGGGGGGGGGGGGCGTTGGGGCTATGCATGAAGTTTTTCTATCATTGTGTATAAGATGATCATAGGCGAGTTGTTTCGTACTTTAAGCTATCGAAGGAACACCATAATGCACAAGGGGTTGAGGTTTATGTTTCATTTTCTTGTCTTACATATTTGCCACTTAAAGCTTCTGTATAATAGGATGTCTGGTTATGTATGCTCATATGAGGTGAAACAAAGATTGTCATTAGTCAGTTTTCTCTTAATATATAATTGGCGTTATGGCCATGCTTGGAATTTAGAGAGATCAGGGGTAACATAAGGGAATGGTGGATGGGTGACAAGAAAATACAAGTTAATCGCCAGGATAAAATTGCAGTGTTTATCCTGGGCTAACCAGGTAATTTCACTAGGTAACAGTAGGTGCCCTTGATGGTGATTTTAGAACTTGGTGTATGAATATATTACTTAACCAATTGGTTTGTAGAGTTGATACACAAATCTTAGCAGTCTGACCCATCCATTTGTTAACATCTCTGAAAAAAATTGTAAATTAATCTTTTTAATCTCTATATCTTTGTTTCCAGCTCAACTGTTGCTAAGCCATTTATATTTCTGCCTGAATTTTGTTGTCCCTTGTTGGACTAAAACCAAAAAGAAAATGGATCCAATATCCCCATGAAACTAGACTTATGTATCAGATTTACCTTGCAAATTTTTAGCCAAAGAAGCAATGTAAATACACTTATCAGATGGTTGCTTGAGAAGTGTAATTATAAAGGCTCAAACTTTAACATTGCAGGGAATAGGATTCCTTGGGTATTACTAGTTGCTAGAATAGGCGTGGGTTCTGATTCCAAGTGCAATGCTAAGAAGCTTATCTCCAAATTCTTTTTGCAATCCATGATGGATCCTGTAGGGTCCAATGAGTGCACTTTAGCATGAACTGAAAGGGAAATTATCTGTCACCTTTGATCAACACTGCTAGTATGTAATATACGTGCCTTAGGAAACTCAGGAGGTTACTTGGGGGCAGGGTCCAGCTTTTCTTTATACTTTGTATCCATTAATGACCTGCCTAACTGTCATCTGATCGTTTGTGCAGGGGTTCTTCAAATTTACGGCTAGGAGGCCTCGCCATCTTCTGAATATACTGGAGCTTGGATATAATGTCATGTACAATGACGTTGATATGGTTTGGTTGAAAGACCCATTTCCTTATTTGGAGGGAAATCACGATGTCTACTTTATGGATGATGTAGCTGCGGTATGTTGGCTGATATTCCTTGCTATTTTACTCTTATAGTCTTATCTATACAGGAATGCATCTGCGTGAGTCGGTCTGTGTGCTAAAAACTGAGAATATTGTTACACATCAAATTATCCATGCAAGTACAGTGCAGCATTCAGCAATTATGTCACTTGTTTCTGCTTTGATGTAAATAACATTGCATGAACGCCCTCTTTGGATGTTTGCATTTTTCTGTATAATGATCATGATGCTTCTAATCAGCATGTTCTTATATCAACTACTGAGTAAAAGAGACCTGTGTATAAGTTCAAAAGTAAAAAATGCATCCTTTGCTAACAGTTATGGATGATAATTTTTTCCTTCATAATTTTCATTCTTGTCTCTGCTTCTTATATCTAGGTGAAGCCTTTGAACCATTCCCATGCCTTACCACCTCCAGGGAAAAAGGGACGACCTTATGTTTGTAGCTGCATGATATTCCTGCGGCCCACGACTGGTGCCAAGTTGGCTATGAGAAAGTGGCTTGAGGAGCTTCAGGAACAGCCATGGACCAGAGCAAAGAAAGCTAATGACCAGCCTGCATTTAACTGGGCTTTGATGAAGATAGAAAAACAGGTCGGTTGTTTACTCTTTACTTATACTTATACTTCCATTCTCCTCCCTTATGCTTTACAGTTGTCACTCCAATGGATTAAGAGTAGAGGAAACTTGCTATTCATTGCCAAAGTGTAGATTTGTTTTGCAATTGATATGTGTTAGTCTCAGTGAAGTTTAGGGTAGTTAAAGATGTGACTATTGTATCCCAACCAAAGGGGGTGGGGTTAAAAAAGGAAATACGGAGTATGACCTACACTATACTGAACTTTTTTTATTCTTTTCTTTTTTCTTTTCTTTTTTTTTTTTTTTCTCTTTTTTTGCTTTTGATTTCTGATATTCATTTTGATAAGCTTTTCGGAGAGCCATATGGTCAATTCTCTGAACAAGGAAATACTGTATAACTACCACAATATGTAAAAAGAAATTCATATCAAGATTCTTTTGTTTGTATAAAACTGACTTGGAGATACAATAAGCCTAACCAAGGGATACTCATTGGGTTGTATTCTGTAATGACTGGACAACAGGTGGATATGTATCTGCTTCCCCAGTCTGCATTCCCAACTGGAGGTTTGTACTTCAAGAACAAGACATGGGTACGTGAAACTGAAGGCTCACATGTTATCATTCATAACAATTACATCATAGGATTTGAGAAGAAAATAAAGCGTTTCCGTGACTATGGCCTCTGGCTAGTCGATGATTATGCTTCAGAATCTCCCCTTGGCAAGCTATAGAAGTATCAAAGGGTATGGTGATGATTTCGAGTACTAAACCTAGCGTTGAAGGTTGAACTGCATTTGTAATCTGATTTGGCTGAGCTGCAGCATGTTTCAGCCACTAGCTATGGCATATGCTCAAATTTTGAGCTGCTGTAGAATTCCTTCTTTGGTTGTAATCTCAAGCGAGCTCATTTTAACGAGATTTTGGCATTTTCTGGCTCTTGAAGTCCCTTTGCTGGAGTATTATTGAGCCACCAAAGTTTGTGCTGATGTAAAATGGTACTCCAGTATACACAATTGCACATAGCCGTAGGAGAGAAGCTTTAAATTTAGCGGATAGTAATTAAAGTTGATTAATTCTAAAAAGTCAATTGTATTTTACTGTATTTATTTATACTATTACTACGTATCAAATAGATTAAACAAAGTCAATTGCTGATTCTCTCTAAAAAAAAAAAAACCCTAGCTTTTTGAAGGGTTTTCATACTTTTTTGGTTGTTATTTTAGCTTTATAATAACGATTTCTCCCTCGAAAAAGGGTTTTTGATCTCTTACGAAAGATAAGGTTTTTTCGTTCTCTTTCGAAAGACAATGTTTTTTCAATCTTATTCGAAAGACAAGGTTTTTCGACATTCTTTGAAAGATAAGGTTTTTCAACCTACTTTGAAAGGTAGTGTTTTTCGACCTTTTTAAAAGATAGGGGTTTTCTCCTCTTTTTGAGGGGAAATTTCTTTAACTTTAAATCCGGAATAATAGATCTGATGGATTGCTGTGAAATTGTTTTGTTGGTGAAAAACTATATGAGGTCGCAAAGGTAATCAATTTTTCAAATACGATTCGATGAATCCGATGAAAATCATCCTCATAACTATAAGGGATCATTAGATTGTCTCTTCAACAAGACTATATATTATGAAGGAAATTTTTATTTGATACGAATTATGTATTTGTTAGGTTCAATTATCTTTGTAGATATCGTATAACTTTTTATTAATGAATTAATTTTACTATTAAAAAATAAAAAACCAAAGCCAATTGCTGATCATTCAATTCTTAAATAGATTAAGATTAAACAACGTCAATAATTGCTGATCATTCATAAATATATTAAGATTAATCAAAGTCAATTACTCCCTCCGACCCATTATTAAGTGTCTGTTTTTCTAGGATTTTCAAAAATTAAGTGTATTTTTTATTTTTGTTTTATGTATAATCACCTACATACCCCTACTTTCACTGATGGATTTACATTAGAGCCTACAGCCTAGGGGGCACGTGCTATCCCTCAAAAAAAAAAAAAAAAAAAAAAAAAAAGGGAAAACTTTGGTTAAAAAGCCTGATCAACTTATATGTTGAAGGTATAAATAATAATTTGTATTAGTGGACTTTTAATTTTAAGTGTTGTAGCGGTATTTTTGTTTATTTTTAAAGCTTGGGCTTTTGGTGGTTTTAGGTTCAAGTACTACTACAAGCAACTATTGGTATACTTTTATTTTATTTTCAAATCAATTTCTTTTTCTAATCCAAAACTCATTCAAAATTTCTTCTTCACAATAGCACAATAATAATAATAGACATATTAAAACAATTTATTTATCTTATTGTATACAATTTTTCTTAAATAATCTTGACCCCTTAATTTTAGTATTAATCACTATGCATTTGTGCACAATAATATGTAGTACTAGACATATCAAATCAACTCCTGTGATTACATTCCCTCCAAACCAATTGAATGTAATAAATTGCTAAATACTTGATCACCATATGACAATAGTTTGTAATAAACTGATAACTGCTTCAACACATACGTAGTAGAAGAAAACTATTTTTTTATTATTTATTTATTTTTTTAAAATGTAGATTTTTTTATAGCAATGAAATCTACAATTTTTTTTTTACCAAAACGAGACTGGTTATTTTTGCGGTGTTCTCTTCTTCCCACCTTTCTCGTCCCAAATGCAAATTTGGAGTCTTAAATCTGAAATATTTTCAAACCTCCATCATCAAAGAGCATGTTACATCCGACGGACAACAATCAAATAGCCCTTTTCAAGAATGTTGTGATAATTGTTTGTGGTATACATTCGACGGATTACAATCAAGTAGTCATTTTCAAGAATGGTGTGATAATTGTCTGTTGTGATGAAGAATGAACGGAAATATTTTTAGTTATTGAAAGGTTAGTGGCTAAGTTTATCTCATACGGGAGCGGGACTAAGCCGGTATCAATATAATGTATATATGTAGTATATAGTGATAATAACTCATTTTTTTTAAAAAAATCATTACATGTATCAATATAATGTATATATGTAGTATGTAGTTTTACGTAATTTGTTAATAAATAAATAAATAATTATATATATTTCATGTTTTTTTAACACAAAAGGGAAAAGCATATATTACATAAATATGGCAGCAGCCATATTAGCAAAATACAAGATCTTAATGTTTAAGATGATCCAACACCATAGATACTTCAAGTAGCAAACCGAAATAAAGACTAAAGCAAAATTAAAAGCTAAGCGCCAGTACACAAAAGCTTGCAAATACAAGACCGAGAGATCAAAATAAAAAGGAAGCGCAATAGCAGGAGCAAGAACAACGTTAGGTAGCCACCCTCTCAGGGATATCAGAGGCATACTCTTGAAAGAGTTCAGCAGAAGTACATTACTGGTTGTTCTGGGTTGACAATTTTCCTTCCCATTGAAGCTAATTTGTCAGAAACACGATTAACATTTCTGCTTGCATGAAAGATAGAAACCTTCCAGGTCTCTACTTATGAGAGAGGCAACATCTCGAATAATATTCCCTAAGTCATGATCCTTGAAGGAATCTGGGTCTTCCAGCATCTTTTTTAGCTCTGCCGCATCAGTTTCCAGTTCTAGAAGCTTGATGTCTCTTGCCCAAGCAGCCAGTAAGCCATCCTTTATTGCCAGTAATTCAGCAGCAGCAGGCGAAATAGCATTGTACCTGGCAGCAAAACCCAACTGCCACAAACCTTTGTCACATCTTATCACACCACCTCCTCCAGCATCATTAATACCCTTCCAGGAGCCATCAATATTGGGCTTGAAGTAGCCAGTGTGAGGAGGAGCCCAAACTCTGGAAATAGAAACTGAAGAGGACTGCATGCTAGCCTGTTGTAAATTAAGAGTGTAATGGTAATCTATCCAGAATCTATTAAAGGTACACTTTATAAACATCATTTTTTTCTCAAAAATAGCCATGTTTCTGGTTTTCCATAAATGTCAAATACTCACAGCAAATATAATTTTCCAAGAGTGACCATAGTTAAGGTTAAAGGAAAACCAATCTGATAGAGTTGAGTGAAAAAAGAGTAGTAATCAAAATTAGTTGGGGCTAAAGTTTCGAAAACCAAAGACTAAAAAGCAAAAGAATTAGGGCAATCCCTAAAAAGATGGATAAAATTTTCATGTGAGGCTTCACATCTCATACACATTGGATCAAACGAATTTTTTTTTTTTTTTTTGAAGGGTGGTACCAACCGGGAGAATGTTTCTAACAAGGTTCCAAAGAAGCATTTTGTATTTAAAAGGGACTCTAATCTTCCACAAGTTCTTCCATGAAAAATTAGACAGGAAAGTGGTGTTGAGGTTGTAAGTAGTATTATAAGAGTTGTAAGCAGATTTGATAGTAAAATTCCCAGATTTATCGAGACTCCATTTAGGTCTATCAGAAACATTAACAAGGGAAGGAATAAGATAGGCTAAAATTAAAGAACAAAGGGAAGGAGGAATAATATGAGAAACATCATCTAAAACCATTTCTTATTTCTTATAATGTTAGAAACACGCCAATGACCTTTGGAGTCAGGAATTCTAATATATATTTCATGTTGATTGAACCCATTAATAAGAAAATATTGCTCTTTTGTTTTAAGTTTCATGAGCCTGTTCAACCTTTTTGCTTTGTTTCAATGTAGTGCATTACAACTTTAGTCTATTTGATTGTAGAAATGATAACTCGATCCACATTTCTTATAATGTCATAGTAGCTCAGGTACATCTTTGAAAATTCCCGGCTATGATCCACCCTTGTCTTGAGAACATAATCAGGCAAGAAACGATGATCGTACCAGCAACGACCAACCAACTTCAACATCATAACAGAAAAGATGTAGCCTAAAAGACTTTAGATTTTGTGCTGAGGAGAGATTATAACTTGGTTCAAATGTCTTATGATGTCGTAGTAGCTGACATACATCTCTGAAAATTCCCTGCTTTTATCAGTCCTTGTCTCGAGAATAAATTTGTAGACTTCCGAGACTGCCGGGTGGTTAACCTCGGCAACCTGGAGTCTGACATGATTGAGAAAAGATCCTATATCTAAAAGCCGATAACATCATAAAAAATAATCCAAATTTCTGATCTAGGTGACACTCTCATCATCCTTACTCAATCTCCAATACACACCAATTACTTCATCATCTTTATTCCCCTCCGGACCACCAATGTTCCCCTCTTCTCCCCCTTGCGATTCTCCTTGCCCTTCCTCTCCATTATCATCACCACCACCACCACCACCACTACCACCATCATCATCACCATTTCCCTTACCCCTATCTCCTCTATAGTTTGTACTCTCTACCAGAGGGATCTTTCATGGGGGCCAACTAGGGCCTGGCCCCTGGTAGAGCCCAAATAATTTTGCATATATACGATAAAATTAGCCCAAAGTACAAGTTATGTTAAAAAGAATATGTTAGTGTAGATGAGTTGTCAAGGGCCAATCACTTTCTTTATTTTTTTCTTTCATCTGATCAATTTGGCATTCCAAGGTTCAAAATAGGGCCAACATCATAACCACAATATTTTCTTTACAAAAATTTTACACTTCAATGACATCATGCTACAGAAATACTCCTACTTCGTGACCTCTATAGCTTTGTTGACCTGTTATGTACTCTTTTAGTATGTAATTTTTTTTTCTTTTTCTAAAAATTATGTTCAATTTTATTTGGTTAAGTTTCATAGACTCTCTCAGCATATCAATTTAATTAATTTTTTTTTTCACAAACTGTATTACAGACTACGTAGTTAGAAATAATAAATTGTAACAACTCTAACAAAGGAGGGCGTTTGTTTCGCAGTTTCATAAATAAAATGTACCACTTTAGTCACGGTGGTACATTTTATTTACGAAATTGCCACTGTGAGAACAAAAACGTTTCTCATAGTGATTAACAGAGATTTACTGCTAACAAAGTGCTAAAAAAAATTGCTTATTAAATTTTCATGTATTGTTCACCCATTAGAATCTATTTAAAAAAGTAATTGTTAGATAATATCAGACTCCTTGGATTGGTGTGTATTCCATTGATTCATATATACAGGGCAAAGGAAAAAAAAATTAGTAAAGTAAAAAAATTGCGGAAGCTAGGATTAGATCTAAAACCTAAGCTGTAATACCATGTTAGATAATATCAAACTCCTTGGGTTGGAGTGTATTCCATTGATTCATATATAGGGCTATAATGATGAATCCTAATACGTTAGGAAAGCTCAAAAGATATTTACCGAATATTCACAAAATTATATCCTTCTATACAAAATAATATCTAGAATATTTATCTATCAGTAATATATATGTTAGTGACCATAAATTTTACTTATTCGCCCCCCCAAGTAAAATTCTCCAAGATCCGCCACTGCTCTCTAAAGTCTCTAGTGAACTCATGACATGAAATTCGATATTGGTGAGCACACATAAGCCACGGGATTGTACCATCTGTTCAAGAGTCTTGGTTCAATGGGAGCATTTTCAGATTGCTCACCATCACATGTATTAAGGTCACAGACTGGGCAACGTACGAGCTGCAGATCTGGGAGGTTGGGTAAAGCTAGGGATTAGCAGACTACGAAAAATTGATTGGCACTAATTAGGAAACAATATTCATGACATGGAAAGATTTGAATGTACCAGCAATCCAGATTCCAGTTTTGATATTGGTTAGCACACATAAGCCACGGGATTGCAGTATCTGTTCAAGAGTCTCCTTCTGAGGGATCTTTTGGGGAGGACTAGTCAGCTTCTCTGTCACAATTACTGCTGATGATTCCAGGAAAAAAGCACCAATCCGAATCCAATCTGTAATTTTCCAATAACATGAGATATATAAGCATAATCGAACCTTGAATCAATCTAAGAGGTAGCTATTCAATAACATTGATGACTATAATTAGACTAAAACCAAATCAGTAAGAGAATATTTATTCCATAATCGAGAGGATCCACCTTATAGACTTTCAATATGTTATGTTTAGTACTTTGATGTCATACATACTAATAATAATCAGAGGGATTACCTATGTGTTTCTCTTGCTGGCAAAACAAGTAAGAGTGACTCCCATCTGCAAGAAAGTTGCAAGGTGAGGCGAGGCTTTCAACACCACACACAGTTACTTTGACAATAATGCCACATTCTACTGTAAGGCAGGTAGATGTTCAAGTGATTTGTCTCTCACCAAAAGCTGATGCATACAGTTTCTTCCGGTTAAAAGAGACGTCTCCTGGATCAGGAACTGCTAGATCACATAAGCCGGCATATTTCCACACGCATTCTTCTGATAGTCTTGTAGAACCATTTGCAGGTAGTGGCAAGCATCACCAGAGACTTTCCATCTAGGTACTTGGCTATCTCAATCCATACATCATCCTCAAACCTTGGAGCACAAAATCAAAATTCAGTTAGAAATTTCAATTTGTAACCATTATTCAAAACTACAGAAACTTCAAATAAAATAGTCCTTGTCTATTCACACAAAACCATGCTAATCAAAAGTTAAAAATCAATTGTTGAACCGTTCAATTCCACAAACATAATCAAGATTTAACAAAAGATAATTACACACAAAATGATTCCAACTACTGCATTTTCTTGGTGAGAGCTAAATCATGAAGTTAAGTTAGCTGAACTATATGAGAATCGTCACTAATCGATTCAGCATTCATACTAGCTAAACAGATATATGAATAAGCTCGAAATACATACTGTGATATTCTATGAAATTCAAATTCTCAGATAAGAGTAAGATTTATCAACTCACTGAAATTCTGGAACAAAACTTGAACTACAAGATAGTGATTTCGAATTCACAATTCAATTTGTGAGAATCAGGACATTGACGATCGATTCGATCAAAACTCGCTCGTTAATTCAGCTCTCTAATTTTTCAAATTTCATCGCTAAACTCAACTGAATTTTGCTAATTCCAGCTCAAATTTAAATTATCAAATTCATATTAGAGGTTAAATTTGTAGATAAGAAGCTCAAAATTACGAGTAAATTATACAGAAAAACGAAATGATTACTGATCTTTAAATTTGACGCTAAACTTCCGATTATCGTAAAATTGAGCGTGTTCATCAAAATCATAACAATTATCGACAATTACAGCTCAAAATCACCAAAAATTATACTAATAAACGCAATTATAAGAGTTCTACTCATTTTTCCCTTGCAAAATCATACAAAAATCAACGCAATTGTGAAGAGAGATACCTTGCGAAGCAAGCGCGAAGAGACAAAACGGAAGAGAGGCGAGGAGAGCTGCAGGAGAAGAAAAGAAGATTCTTCTTCAATTGAGTCCCATTTTCTTCAGAATTGTATTGAGATTTGCAGTGTTTTATGAGAGAGAGTTTTGAAATGAAATGAATTTGGTTCAATGGTGAAAGGAATAGTGTATTTATACAAAAAGACGCGGGAGTAAGAGAAGTCTCCTATTTTTTAAATTACTTTTAACGAAATTGGGACCCCTAGCATAGCCATGCTGGCATGCTGTTATTTGTTATATGCTGTTGACATGGCATTTTTAATTTCTGTGAACGGAAAAATATTGAAACGATAGCGTTTCAGTTGATTTGAACTCGTTCTCTTATTTTCTTCGATGTTTTTCTTAACTTCATAAGTTGCCTTCAAACCTTTGTTAGAGCACTCCCAATGGTGATAAAAAAATATGCTCATGGGTATTTTGGGTGGGCAAAAAATATACTCATGCATTACAATGGTGATCAAATGAAGAAATGCAAAAATATGCTCATGAGCATTTCTAAAAATGCCCAAGACTTGGGCAAATTTGAGGATGAATAGTGCTCTGGTGGGCCCCACAATTTGCAATGGTTATATTTTTTGTAATGCAAATTCTGAAATAAATATTTATTAAAAAAAAATTAAAATAACCAACGGTCATAAAATTTAATTCTCTATAAATAGACATGCATTTTGGTATATTTTGGTATAATTTCAGAAATACCATAAATCCTCCATATTTTTTTTAACGATAAAAACGACACAAATAAAAAAAATAAAATAAGTTACACAAATTTAGACTAGTTTTTATTTATTTGGAGTAATATTGTTAAAATATAAATGAAATTAATAAATAAAGAAGTGTTGTAAAGGAGAGAGAAAATAATGGTGGGGTATTGAAAAAGTAAGAGAGAGAGAGTAGTGGGCAAGCATTTTTTTTTTGCTCACCATTGAGAGAGAAATTGTGAAAAAAATTTGTCCATGGGCAAAACAGATTTGTTGAGAGAGAAAGTGGATAGAGAGATAGTGGGTGGGCATTTTTTTTGCTCACCATTGAGAGTGGTCTTATATGCTCTTTCTACTCTGGATCATCATCACACATTACTTAATTCTACCAGGGATATACCATGCCAATGCACAAGCAAGAATTTTTAATAAGTATTTCGGATAGGTAAGGGGATTTTTATTCTTTTAAAACATATTATAAGGATTTTTTTTTTTTTAAAAAAAAAAAACATTATAAGGGAATTTTAAGTGAAGCATTCATTTTTATATACTAAGTGCAGACCTATGCGCGCGCATTGATTTGTGTTACGACTGTTGTTGTATGTTTAGAATGTTAGAAATTTAGAGTGTGGTAGAAAAGAGCCCTCTCCTTTAATGGAGAGGTCGCGGCTGGAAGCCACGGAAAGCCGCGCCCGCGGCATGGTGGCCGCGCCCGTGGCATGGGCGTGGCCAGGCATCTCCAGAAAGTTTGGTGAAATCTGTGATTTCCCTGTCCGCGGGCTGAAACGCCGCGCCCGCGGGGCCATGAGGAGCACCCGCTCCTCTGGTGCGAGCGCCCGCTCCTACTAGCAGTTGCGATTTCGATTGTTCTTGTAATTGCGAAATTAAAAGAATAACGTAGTATGCTTTTGGCTCTCTCTGTAATTCCTCTCCAAGTTTTTCACTCTTCTTCACACTTTTCTCTAAGAAACTTGCAATCTCTTATAGAAAACTCTATCAATTAAGTTATTTTTTAAGAATTTAATCATCTTATCACACATCTTTGTGCTTAGAGTGTGGTGTTGTCTATTGTATCTCAAAGTGAGTTTCCGGTTTCAACCCAAGCACCGAGGTGGGGGAAATTATCACTTTAGGAAAGTGTATACACGCCTTAGACAAGTATCCAGTATAGAAGACTCACGCGGTCATTGGTTTTCTCATGTTCTTGGTGGTTTTTGGCTTGGAGTGAGGCAAGTAAAGAATCTTTCATATTAGTATTATTTTGTTGTAATTTCTGTTTTACATTGTTAATTCAGTGCTTGGTTTGTAATACTACGTTAAGTATTTGGTGTTGTAAATTTCGTTGGAATTTATACACATTCTAGGGTTTGTCCACCATAGTTAAGTGATTCTTGTTGTGTAGAATTGCATTGTAAACCCTAACATAGAAATCATTGAGTTAGTCTAATTGTTGTTGCTTTTTTGGTTATTGTAGGAAATGAATCAAAGTAGTTTATTAATTATTAATGTAAACGAATCAAAGTTGGATTGATTTAGAGTTTTATTGATGTACCGTGTAAGATATACTTAATAGTTAATATAGTGTCTTACATTTGACATGGTATATTTTTTAATTAGGTACTTTGGTAAATTGGGAATTGAATGTTGATTATGTATGTAAACATTGTATTGGGATGGATAAAATTGCAATTGTGCTATTGGATAAAATTCCAAAATAGATAGGCTTACCTATATTGTTTAGTAAGCTTTGGTTTAACCCAAAATAAAAGAATTATAGATAAGTGTACATGTAACCATAGATTATTAGATGGGCTTACCTTGTGGAAGATTGTGACATAGTTGGTATTATACTATTATGCAATTATACATCTAAAAATGGGCATGTCATGCATGTAACTCTCCAAACTTTTAAATCACTATATATATAGTTCCAACTTATGTAGGACTCGAACCTACACGTATGTGCAATGGCACATTGTTCTACCATTTGAGCTAATAGGCTTTCCAAAATCTTTATTGAACTCGACATAAATTATAGCATCATACACACCCAAACATAGCAGAGATTTGAAAAGTAAATTACTTAATGCGAAGGTGAAGACAAAGCATCAAACCTTAGGATCAACTACTGAGAATGAAGTTTAATAGGCTTCATTTATCCACTCTTGCTGCTCTGCACCATCCTCACACCCCCTGTCACCCAACATCACAAGCCCAGCTCGCTATGACACATTACAGCCCACAACAAAGCAGACACATGACTACATAAAACCACGTCTATCTGGTCCAAACACACAACATACTCTTACCCTTGCTGCACTAATGTGCCACAACACAAACCTCGCAGACAAACACTAATCAGACCAAGTAGACTCATTATGAGACAATAAAATAGTAGGCTTCACATACACGAGATCACACGTATCATGATAGGATAACAATTCTTAGGCATAATTCATATACATTAAAATACACCAAATAGCATAATATATAAGTACAACATAAGAATTATATTTAAGTGTTGAAGATTACTATAGAATATGCATCAGCATTGTCTTCTTATTTTTCTGTTAAATGAGGCATACCATTCCCTTCCATCAAAGAAGCACAATTTGACATGCACACACTGCCTTTTAATGGTGCTTATATTATAATCAAGCACCATGAACTGAGTAAAATATAGCATCTTATATTATAATCAAGCACCACGAACTGAGTAAAATATAGCATTTATCACGAGTACAACACAAAATCTGTGTATTATATGAAACAATGTAAATATGAACAACTTCATTAAGGCCAATAAAAGCAAACAGACCAATAAAACCAGTAAGCAAACTAAGAATCTAGGAAAATAAACAACTCAAGAAATAAAGAAAAGCAAGATTACCAATATCACAAGCAAGCAATTTCACACTTCTCAAAGACATCAAGCTTTGCTTAATCAAACTTATACTAACGTTGATGATATTAAAAAATAATCATAAAATTTCCTTTCAAAATTTGCAGAACTAGAAATTAAAACAATAGTCTTAATCATACAAAATAAACATATGTATTTTAGCATAAATCAATCCATTTGATCA